CTTTTTTTTTTTTTATATCGAATCCGGATTTATTTTTTATTTTTTTTTGTTTTAATCTTCTGCTGGATTCGATTTTCAAAATTTATATCACAAGTAATAAATTGTATAAAGTTTTTAATAAAAAATACAAAAAATAAAATAAAATAAAAATAAAATAAAAAGGTTTTAAACGAAAATAGAAAAGGTTTTTTTTTTTGCAGCATTTACGTTTCCGCTTTTTCATCCTTTCCACTTCCGGTTCCTTGTGCAAACAACATTCACATACACACACGTAAGCAAAATTTCAAATTTAAATTTTTATAATAACTAATTAAAACCATCGTGTAAAATAGGTAGGCCCAAAAAATTTTGAATAAAATAAAACGAAAAAAAAAATGTGACGGATGGGATAAATTTCGAAGGGAACGAAACAACACAAACTAATTAAAAAATCTATTTTAAAAAAAATGGTGATGATAAAGAAATAATAATAATAATTAAGTGCAAAAAATAATAAGAAAGAAAATTTCCAAAAAAAAAAGAGAGAGAGAGAGGTAGAAAAAAACCAACAACAAAAGAAAATCTAAAAAAATTTTAAATTGATAATAAAATAAAAATAATGTGATAAGGTTTGGTGATAATAGATAAGGTGGTGATAACATTGATAATAATCTCACCTGAAATAGCTTGAGTAAGCAGTGGCGTATTGTTATTAGGCGTCAGCTGCCCATTCGTTAGGTCAACTGAAAATCAAATAAAAGTTAAAAATAAATTTTTTTTTTTTTTTTTTTTTTAAAAACAAATCCTCATAAGCGAAACATAAAAATAAGAAAAAAAAAAAATCTCGAAGAGTCTAAAAATCTTTTACGTCGTTCGTTCCCTACCTCCCTTTCCCTTCCCTTCTATTCCCCTCATAAAAATTAAACCTTACGAAATTTTTTGAAACCAAAACGTCATTGCCACCATTGTTGCCACCGCCATCACCATCACCGACAAAAAGAATAACGACTCAATCGCAAGAGTTTTTAATTTGTGTTGTTGTCTCATTTCCTGGGAAAAATATAGCTCTCATTTTATACTGCAGAAAATAGGGTGTCAGTCAAGGGTGATGTCGGTAGCGTTGGTGGAATAGGCAAAGGGGGGGTCGGGAGTAGTGGTGGCGGCAGCAGCAGTGGCGGCGGCGGCGGCGGTGTTAGAGCGCCCAGGGGTCTTGAGAGCTCAGGTCACGCATTATGTTCCATTGCGATGCATCCCTTCGTTTAATTTTATTTTAAATTTTACTAAAGTTTACGTTTCCCTTTGGGCCCATAAATGAATGAATACTCGAAAACTTTTTTTTTTTCGTTCCTTTTTTTCCTTCTTTTTTTTTTTTTTTTTTTTTTTAAAAAAAAAATTCAATTCCAGAATTTAATTCCTCCCTCCCCCTCTCCGTAAAAAAAAAGAAAAAAATTCATTAATCTTAAACCTCCTTAAAAGTTTCACGTCATTTTCATTTTCCTTTAAATAATATTAATAATAATAATAATTAATTAAAATAAAATAACAAACCCGAAATAATTATTCAACGAGTTTACGGTCCTGACACAATAATAATAATAATAATAATAATAAAAGTAATAAAGCAAAATCTCAATGTTAAATGAGTAAAGTTTTTTTTTTTTTTTTCTTAAATTGAAAAATTCAAAAACTTTCGAAATAAGTTTTTTTATAAAAAAATCAAATCAAAAAGCAACGGCAATTAAAAAAAAAAAAAGTAAAATGGAAAAGAGAAAAAGGAAAAAATGGAAAAAAAGGTAAAAGGAAAAAAAAACTGAAGAATTTTAGTTAGAAACGAGATTAAAAAATGATTTTTTTGGAAATGGCATCAAAAAATAAAAATGATTATATAATTGAAAATGGTGGAGGAGAGGGGAGGGGTGTGGCGATGGTAGGGAAGTGAAGAGGTTTTTTTCCTAAAAAAAAAAAAATTTATGACTAGTTTTTTGGTGGAATTTTCCAGAACATTTTTCAAAACTAATATGAGATTAAACTGGATAAAATAATACTCGAGGCAATTAATCACGATTACGAAGAGAAGGGGGGGCGGGGCAGGGGAAGGGGAGAAGGTCAGAGAGGTCAGGGCGAAGACGATATTGCTTCTTTTCTTATCCTTTCCCAATTTTTTTTTTTTTTTTTAATTCGTTTTCATCATCATCATCATCATCATTTTTTCCTCATCTTCATCCTTTTTTTCCTCTCGTATTTATTTTTATTTTTTTTCGTTAAAAAAACGTTTTTTTCCATTTTTCCTTTTTTTTCCTTTTTTTTTTTTTTTACTTTAACGCCATCGAAATAAAAAAAAATTTTATTTTATTTTCGATTTAAAGGGAGGAAGGGGGTGGAAGGGGAGGCGGGGTTGAACTTTTTTTCTAGAAATTTCACCTCAAACCCAATCGAAAACCCTTCGGCCATGTTTTTTTTTTATTTTTTTCACGCTACGTTTTTTTCTTTTTTTTCTTCTTCCACTTTTTTTTTAATTTGAAATTTCCGAGATTTACTCCTCTCAATTTATTTTTTAACTGTCTCTATGTTCAGGTACGATTTTTGTTTGTTGTTTGTTGTCGTCTGAACATCAAAGGAATAAAAAATAAAAAAAAAATAAAAAAAAAAAAAACTTTTTGATCTAAAAATTAACATCGAATGAAAATAAAATGTCGCCTCCTCCGTCCCTCCCTTCTTCTCCACCCCCTATCGGAATCCTTTGAAAGGTTTAACGAGAGTTTCCTTTCCCCCTCCTACGCACCATCTCCTCTTTCCCGCACTTTTTTTTTTGTTATCGGCCATATTTCATATTTATTGCTTTATGCAAAGTTCAAAATTTAATAATAAAAGGACAATTTTAGATATTATTGGCAACTATGAAAATTATTATTATTATTATTATTACGGCGACTTCCTCCCTCCCTCCTCTTCCCCTCCCTTACACACACATATATCAAAATGCCGCACCGAAAACGATTTAAATCTATTACGAGAAGAAAAAGAAAATTTTTCTCCAGAAGGCGAAAAAGAAAACTTGAATCGTGACAAATTTATTTCTTATTTTTATGTTCGGATTTATTTATTTATTTTTCTCCAGTTATAACAAACGCTGTTGCCTCCTCCCTCCCCTTCCATTAAAATGAAAAAAATAACAATTTTCTTTTTTTTTTTTTTTTCTTTTTTTCAATTTCAATAAAAAATAAATTTGTCTTTCCTTTTTCTTCTTCTTCTTCTTCGAGAAAGAAAAAAAAAACATTGCGATAATAATAATAATAATAAATAACATGTGATATTATTTATGTTACATTTTTAATGGGAAAAAAATTTTTTTTTTCTTCCAGTCGTGTAATAAATAATGATAATAGTTTTGAATGAAAAAAAAAGAGAAAAAAATCGAACGTATGTCGAGGAAATGTTTGTGTGGAAAAATTTTGTAGAAAGTAAAAATAATGCTGGAATGATGATTATGGAGAAAAGAAAATGACGAATGAAAATTTTGACGAATCCTTTCTCATGTCGTGCAACAAGTAGTTAAAATTCAAAAATCACTGAAATCCGCGAGATTACGCGCGATTTAAAAAAAAAATCTGGAGAAAATATTAAAAAAAAAATTTACGAAACAAACGCAATCCTAATTCTACATAAAACGTTTGGAAAATTTAAAAAAAAAAATCAAAGAAAGATGAAATATGAAAAATATTTACTACTGGAATGATAAAATTTTTTCTCCAGAATTACCGATTTAATCGAAAAATTCGTATGTATATCGAACATTTTCAAACGGAATTTTATAATTTTCCAACTCTCTTCCCTCCCTCCAAAATTCCAAAAAAAAAAACACGACTTTATCCCATCCGGCATAATTATCCAGGAGTAAATAACATTTCAAAAAAAAAAAATTGATTATGGAACGTCGATGGAGAAAAAATTTTTTACCTTTCATCGTGAAACGATTCGCATTTTGGAAAAAAAAAAAAAGTCTTGGGGAAAAAAAAAAATTTTCCAATATCTATAACGGTAAAAAAAAAAAAAATCTAATTTTCAAACTGGAATGGAAAATTTTCAAAATTTATGGTAGCTCCAGATGAAAAATGATAATAATAATAATAATAATAATTTATATCGTTAGGTCAGTCGGGATAAAATTACGTCGGTATAAAGTTTTATTAAGATTTCACGTTTTCTTCTTATGTGGTGGTTTGTTGTTATCATTATTAAATTTTCTTTGATGATAATAATAATAATGTTTTCCCGTAATTAAAATCTATTTTAAAACCCTTTAATTGTTGTTTTCCCAGGAAAAACTCTTAACCACCACCACCATCACCACCGCCACTCTGGAGAAATTAACAAAAAATTTTTTCTTTTAAGGTTTTTTTTTTTTGTCAAATTAATTAAAATAATTTAAACGATTCTTCTCTACCCCCTTTCTCTCTAACTCTCCCCCTCTTCTTTCCTCTCCCTAAGCTCTCACCCTCTTTCTTTGTTTAACCATAATAATAATAATGAAACCTTCGAAACTCGTTTTTTTTTTTTGCACACTCTCAAAATCCTTTCATCTTTAATTAAATTTATTTATTAATAACCAATTTTATATTAATAACAATCAAATTAATAAATTGAACGTTTTCCATACGTTAATAGATAAATAATGATAATGATGATAATGATGATGTGGATGATGATAAGTTGTTAGTCGTTGTTTTGCATGTAAATAAATGAAAAAAATTCGATTATAGATCGAGGGGGGAGGAAGGGAGAGAAGGAAGGAAAAAATTAAAATTATTTAAGTAAGAGAATACATGACGACATGCCGACGACGACGACGACGACAAGGACAATGACGTGGAAGTAGAAAAAGGTTTAAAAGGTTTTTTTTTTTTCTTAAGGTTTCCAGCAATATCTTATAAATATAAAGTAAAAGAAAAAAAAAATTTTTTTTTTAATGCGATTTTGTTCTATGTCAAAGGAAATTGATTCCTTTAAAAGCTGAATAGAATTTTTTTTTCCTTTTTTCTTTTCCTTTATCTATAAAAGAATGAGGGAAATACAATAACATATCAAAAAAGAAAATGTCAATTTAATTTTTGATTGTCGGGGAAAAAAAAAGTTTTCGGGTGGAGAAGGGAGGAAAAAAAAATTATTATAAAAAAAAATTTTTTTTCTTTCCATTTTTTTTCCGGGGGGGGGGGATGGTGAGGGAGGGGGTAAATGGTCGAATGAAAAAAAAAAAAACATAAAAAAAAGACGCAGAGAACATGGAGGATGACCGTAAAAAAAAATTTTTTTTTTTTAAATTCGAATCGAGCGTGAAAAGGGTTAGAAAAAGATAGAGAGGGGAGTGTGCGCGTGTGATGAAAAAAGAAAAAAAGAAAGAGAGAAGAATTATGATAGGAAAAAATCAAGTCAAGTCAAAGATTTTTATTAAATTTGCAAAAAAAAAAAAAAAAGAAAAAAAGGAAAAATTTGATTGCACGAGAAGAAGAAGAAGAAGAGAGGAAAATAATGAAGGAAAATGATGCGATTGTTAGAAATGATTAATAAACCAATCGTCTTCTGTCATCAAAGATTTTATCCTTTTTGTCAAGACAAAAGGATTGGAAATGAAAGAACGTAGAAAACTGTCTTGTCATCACTTGTATAAGATGGCAAAGCCTTTTCGAAAACCTCATTTAATTAATGTTCAAGATTAAATTTTACTTCATATTTAATTTTCATATAAAAAAATAATAATAATAATCATTTTTTTTTTCGTCTCTCCCCTTTTATACTCTCTCCTCGTTCTACTCATTTTCAACACCTACCTTTCACCTCCTCTTACTTCTCCTACTTTTCCCTCCCGCCCATCAAAAAAAAAAAAAAAATTTCCAATTTTATCAGTTAGTTATTATTTC